CATCCTCCCCAGTTTGATGCTGGTGCTAAAAGATTTCCTTATTTGTGAAACCAGAGCCAAAGTATAACTTCGCATGGTGCTCCACATTCCTCATTTTGGGGAAGAAAGTGCTTCTTGTAGGAGTTGTAATATTCTCAGTATTTTATTACTTTATTCTCGAAGTGTTACAACTTTATTCTCGGAATTGTATGACTTAATTCTCCTAGTGTTACAACTTTATTCTCATACTGTTACGACTTAATTCTCGTAATGTTATGACTTTATTCTCGTAATTTTATGACTTTATTCTCGAAATAGGGCCAGGCTTGAGATTTTTCTTTTTTAAGTCCCCGTCGTGAATCTGAACAATAAGATCTGGATATTTAAATCCAGAAATGGAAGGTCACATCAAGCTTTAATAATACATTTCATCATTACATACGATCGTAGCCTCGGTCAATGTCCTTTTGTTTTTGTCTAGACCCTACTTTCATCTTTCATGACTCTACTTCCCACCATGAGAGAATTTCAATTACTACAAGCTTCCTTGAAACATATTTAATGTTAACCTTGATCGTAACTCAATTTAAGCTAGTGCTCTAAAAATCCTCTGGTTTTCAATCTTGGGTCTGGCTGTCTCTTTATGGCCCCAACAAATGTCACCATACATCAAACTTCCAATTAGATTTCAGCCTCTTCTGCCAAAAGCTGCGGCTCTAGTCTCCATCCTGCAGAGTGGATTCATTTTGGGTCGACCTGGTGTGTGTGTGAGTGTACCTGTTGGAGGTTCATTGTTATTTGCTATAAATGTCTGGTTGCTTTCAGACACTGTGTGTAAAAAATAAAGTAAAACATATGAACTGAATGGGATTTCTTTAATAAGAATAATAAAAACCCAAAGTGCAGATAAAAAGAGCAAGAATGGCAACTTTATCTGGTACCTTATATGGTCCTCGGGATGTTTACATGCTCTAAAATTAGACAAGGCAAGTGTAGGATAAGCTAAGATAGTACATGCCACCCTTAATCACACTGTCAGCTTGGAGGAAAGGCCTTCCCTATCTAAAATGGGTTAGTCTACTCTTCTGCCTCAGGCCGCTACTGCATAGAAAATAAAGGCACATTTTCTGCATGAAGACAAGTCAGCTGCAAAGGTCAGGAGCCACAGAGAAAGGTCTAAAGTTGATTTATTCACAGCCTGTAGAATGTTTCCACATTTTGTTAGGCCGACACCACCAACTCCTTTTTTATGGGGATTTTCAGAAAAATAAAGCAAAATGGTGAAGTGGAATAAGAAGAATATCTGGGTTTGAAGCTGTTCTACATGAAAACCCATCTGAAAAGTGTGGCATGCATTTGTGAGTCAATATGTAGACCTCTGCCCTGTTCTCCAGTCTTTTAGCTTCTTCCACCATTAAGTTACAACGGAGAGTATGAGCAGTAACGTGTCTATCAGAAGCTGAAATAAATGGCTTAGCTTGAAAATGAATTTATCTAAACTAAAAGTAAATTTAACTGTTTGAAACGAATCAGTTTGCTTTGCAAATTTATTTTATCATATTAAAAAATGCAATATGTTAATTTTTACCTTAGTGCTATGAATCAATTTCAGTAACAATTCAGTTAATTTGTTTCATGAAAGCAGGGGTTTAATCAAACACAGTTATGGATTGGTATTCTGCATCAGGTTAAACTTATTCAAATATAAACTCATGTCTATAAGAATATAAAAAAATAAAAGATAGCTTTGGGCTAACTGTAACAGCAACCCAGTCTGGTAACAGCTGGTTATAGCTATCAGCTAAAGACACTAAGTTAGGAAAGTGCGCCATTGGTGAAACGTATTCCTGCATTTTTCCATCAATATGTTTGATTCGCTAATAATCACTGGTTGTTATACTAAACAAGCCAAACCTCCTTCTTCACATACTTAATTCCTCAAATATAACAAGTGAGACTATTTCATTTAAAATATTAATATTAGAGAAAGGTGGAAATGTGCCAATCAGGCTTTTTTGGTCTGATTTTCACCATTTCCATGTTTTATTGATCAAAACATTAGAGCAAGGGTATTCAGCTAGATTTCAGGAGGGTCCAATACCTCACTTCACTCCCTCTATGGGTTCCTTAACCAATGGATGTGGCACAAATTATTGGAAAAAATGTGAAACTATTGAGGCAACTTAAACATTTTATTAAGCTTTTTGGTGCTTTTCTTCGTTACAGTAAAGATATAAAGGATGTATTAAATATATCTTAATAAATACTTAACTTCCTGATCTTTAAAGAACAATTTTCTTAAATATTGAGCATTCTCACTAAGAGATAACATTTAATCATTTGCAAAATTGAACAGCAACATCATAAATAATGAAAGTCCTTTTTAAAAAGCAACTACTAAAATACAACCCTGGTTCTGTAGTTCGTTCTTTTACTTAAGCTGAATCCAGTCGCAGCACAAAGTAGCAGGAAAAATGTAAAAGTTTAGGGCTCAGAAAACAGGATTAATTTAACAGAAGTCTGAGTTTGTTTATTTTTGTGGTTTTAACCTCATTCTGATAAAATTTCCTCAAACTTTTATGCTTTATGCTTGTTTCCACTTTTTACAATCGCCACAGAGTCACAGCAGCTTAAACAGATTGGTCCTGTAGCGTGTCCTGGGAGAACAAATGCATATCTGTCGTCCACTCGTCTTTGAATGCCCCGTTTTTATATTCCACCTTCCAGAATTTTTCAACAAGCAATCTGGCAATGGAATGGTTGTGGAGAGCGCCTGAGGAGACACAGCTGGGCTGTAAAAGATGAAAATTGTGCGAAGAAAATTTTGATCGAAACCACCAAAGATTCATTTTACTACATAAAACGTCCGGTGGTCCTGAGTCCGCTAGTTTGTGACCGCTGCATTACAGAAAGAAAGGTTTACTGCTGTTCGCTTCTTAGAAGAAGTAGTTTCTAATCAAACAGAAAAGAAAATGGATTACAAGATTATTTAAACAATCAAATCATATATCAAAGTTCTACCAACCGGATTTTATCAATTTTCCCAATTTCAAATAATTGGTCAATATATTTATTGGCCCAAATGTCGATACATATGAAGAAAACAATGAAAAGTGCTCATTGGATGAAAGGAAAAATAAATTAGAACATCATTACAGAAAGGCTATGACCTTAATGAGCTGCAATTGTCTGCCCTCTTTAAATCACTTTTTGCTTGAAAGTAATTCAAATCATTTATAAAGATTATTACTATGCAAACAGTTTGGATGAGCTTCCAGCATCGTTCTAATAAATCTTCACACAGAAGCTATGAGAAGCTCAGGCTGCTCTACATCAGCACTGTGCAACAACAGATATTTTAAATGCTGCAATTTTAGCTAAAGTAAAAAAGCGTTTTTCTGGAGAGAATTCATCACATGCTGCAGTTAAGTGTCACACATTAAATCAGCTGAAATAAATGGATTTTTAAAAAGCTCTGCTGTTGTTTTTTTAAAGAATGAATTTGCAGTAAATCCACTATCGGCTCCGGCGTCTTGATGGTGAATAAAATAAAAAAAAAAGAACAAAAACAAATCAGTGGCATCATCGGGAGTCTTTTCCATTAAGAATGCATGTTTTCCTTCTGCACTGTTTTTCAGATTAGCATAATTTGCTTTCTGAGTGGAAACTGGGTAAAATTAGCAGCCAGCTTCTCCTGGCAGCATTGGAAACATTGAAAGGCCAGCAGCTCAACCTGAGCCCAGCCACAGGATGGATGCAGAGCAGTGATGTCTCTCTTTAATCTGTGGCCACGGCTGTCTCCATAATAAGCTGCTCAGACTTCATTAGCTCTGTTAGAGCAACCAGACTGCTGAGAGAGGCTGGATGTCATTTTTGTTTTTTCACAGAAAATGCCGCTGTCGGCTGCAGACATGCAGAAAATCTATGCATAGCTTATTTATATTCCCCCCTCTTTGGTTACGCTTTGCTGCTTGTCTTTAGTGTTCCTGAACCTTTATTCTTTCATCTCTTATGTGTGTCCCCTGACTGTCCTCAGGTCCTCTGTTTCTGCAGCCGCACACCTCATTCAATGCATTTAGAGGTCATGCATTAATCTGGTGCATTTAGAGCGTGCAGGATATATGTGCTCCACAAAGCTGCTCGTTGAATATTATTATGCATTTCTTCTCACCACTCCTCCATTAAGGGCAGCTTTTTAAATCGTATCATTAAAGTTTTTCATCAATTTTTATTTTTATTTAGTAATGTCTTCAAATTTTTTATTCTATTTTAGTTTTCATTTGTTACTAGTATTTGTTAGCTAGTTTAGTTTAGCTTTTACTTTTTGAAAAAGCTTAGTTTCAGATTAGTTTATATTTTTTTCAGTCATAGTTTATATTCTTTAATATAATATGACTTACATACTGGGGACAAAACCAAAAAAAAATAAAAAAAAAGTTAAGGACCCAACTGCAGTAAAAAAAAAAATCAAAACAGCATCCAGAAACTAGACCTCATATTAATTAATTATAAAAAAAGACAAAAACTAAAACTAAGCACATACGCTCTTAGAATTCACCTACTTTTCACTTTTTTGCAAGCTCTAGTTTTTTTTTTCTGAAAAAGTCTTTTAATTCTAATTTCCATCATTTCGTTAGTGTTACTTAATGATAACGATCTCTGTCTGCAGTAGGGGTGAGTATTGGCATAGGTGTTGCAAAGCGATGCTTGGGTCACGATACGATATTATCATGATATTGCAGTATCGCTGTCTATTGCGATATTTTTCCCAGCTGTCAAAATTAAATGTGTAGATATGTTCATGGGAAGATATCGATTGTTTAGTTATTTTGGTATCCATGTTTGAGGTTTGAGTCGGTTCATGTCTTCCACTGTGACTGCCTCAACTAGATATGTCACTGCATCGTACAGACAGAGGGCTCCACAGCGCCATCTGCCATTTTCCCTCATTGTTTTAGATAAAATGTTTATTTTATTTTTTTATTGATATTAGGAACTGAAAGATCGATATTATAACAGGGAGTTGAAAATCACGATATGTCGCCAAAACGATTTTTTTCCCACACCCCTAGTCTGCAGTTCCTCTAAAGTTGCCATGGATCTCTTATCTCTTAGCTACAGACGGGGTTTGAATACAAATGTCCACTCCTGTTTTTAGAATTTTTGTAGACTAAACGAATTCCTTCTTTTCCTTCAACTTCACAGTTATTCACTTTTTTATAGATGTTCTATTACATAAAAACTGCATGACATCAGTTTTACAGTTTGCGGTCGCAAAACGACAAAATATGGGAGAAGGTGTGAAGACTTTCCAAAACTGGAATAACACTATAATAGAAAAATGTTACTAACGAAAATGTATTTATAACTGCGCTGCTATTTTAGACCGAATATATATATAAAAAAAGGTTTCATTTGATAAATTCTGGAAGCATCAGCTATTATTTGATTAAAACCTTGTGGTTTTTTCTCCCCCTGCAGGTGATGCAGCACCCCAGTGAGGGAGCCCAGGTTTTAGGGCTCCACAGCCAGCTGAAAGACGCTTCTGTTCCCGTCGCCGAGGTCCGAGTTTACTCCCTGTCCAGCCAGCCCATCGATCACGAGGGCCCCAAGGCTAAGATGTCTGGTATGGGAGCTTTGAAATATACATTTTTAAATTATTATATTGTCAGTTGTTGTTACAGTCTTCTCTGTTTTCTCCAGATCGTTCTCCTGACATCGACAATTACTCAGAAGAAGAGGAGGAGAGCTACTCATCTGAACAGGAGGGCAGCGATGACCCCATTCATGGGCAGGTGTGTTTGGACAAAGATTTAAATAATAACTCACTGATCCATTGGAGCCATTATGCTGCTTGCAATAGCTGCTTGAACGTATCATTTGTATGTACAAATGTAGAATAAGCGCACCGACAGCTCTATAAATGGGTCCTCACTGGATTTTAGAGCTAAACAAAGTGGTTTAACAAAGGCAGAGGAAGCTGTGTTTATCAGGGAGGAACGCTGAGGGGAGCAGACAGACAGCAGAGGGAGATAAGACTCTCAAAGTGGAGGGATGGAGAGAAGCTGTGCAGCTGAAAAAGGGATGAATGGAGGCAGGGTGGGGCAGTCCTGCAGCGCAGAGGGGAAGATAAGCTGAGAAAAAAGCTTTACCTAAGGGGCAATTCAGGCGTTAAACGCTGCACCTGAGGTAAAACTACTGAGGATAAGAAAAATAGAAAGAGATTTGATGGACATGGTTGAGCAATCATTGCTGACTCATCCACAGGTCATCATTTTATCAAACCGTTTGTTTACAGTTTACAGGTCTGTAACAGATACAGACTAACCTGCAGCACCTTCTAAATGTTTTTCTTTCAACCTAAACAGGCGTACCATTTCAAGCATATCCATTAGTTTTATTTTCCCCCTCAGGCTTTCATCTTCTGTGGACTGTTTTTTTTTTTTTTTTTTTTTAGCAGGGGGCATCCCTAAATAAAAACATAACTCTAATTAGTAGAGTAGTCCATGATTTGGTGGTTATATTGAATCATTATGATCATTACTACATGATTGTGCTTATTAAGGCATTTAGTCAGCTTTTCCCAAAGGACAAGATGAAGCTCCGCATTCAGGACTTCTTCTTTGGGCTGATTTGGGCTTTTCTTATATTTACGCTTGCAAAATTGCACCTAACCATCCCTATAAAATAAATTAAATTCTATTTCATTCCTCTCTTGGATAATGTTGGTTAGTTTTTTTGTATTTGTAATTAGTAATCCATGACTAGGAAGGTGTGGCAGTAATGCCAGTAAGTGTTGGCCACTGGCTGCTCACTCTTTCACTCTGTAGCAGGTAGATGTAGAGGCAAAGCTGAAATGTAACAAAGAGGAGCATCTTGGAGTCACTAAGTCTGCACAGCAACCGTTACTGATACCACATGCTAACTGATTAGCAGTGCAAGTAACTGCTTGATACAGTAAATCTGTGCTTTTTAGCAAAAAAAAAACAAAAAAAAACATAAAAGCATGAGGAAAAGAATGGCTTAGAAAGGCCCACTGCTAAGTTTGGTAGAGAACATGTGATGCTGCGGGCTTGTTTCTCACCAGGAAGGCCAATATGACCTCTTTGAAATATATAAATTACATGAATAAATGTAACCCTGAATATTTCAGCTACTGTTCACAAGATCAGACCCAAAGAGAAGACATAAAAGATCTCCAACCCTGTGAAATGTGATGGAAGAGTTGATAATGTCCCATTAGCAAAGAGCTGTATTTGTTATTAACTCTAGATAGACCAATAAATACATTACAGATCATTTTGATTTAAGAAAATTAGTTCCTCACATTATTTCCCCGAAAAAACTCAAGTCAGGTTTTGAATTTTCTAGATTTTCCAGTGTCATTATTTCACTACAAAATAGTTTTTTCTTTTGGCTTTTATAAGAAGCGCAAAAAAAAAAATGCATCACATCTTTCTCTTATTTTTCTAACAGATCTATCGCAACTGAGAGTAAATTACATCTCTTAAATTGTCAGTAAAAATATTAGAAATAGTCCAAACCTCTTAGTGTTGTAGATTGGTGGAAAAAATAAAGAGAAACACATTGAATGGGTGAGCATCTTCATAGCCTTTCTGTTTGCATTTCTCTCAGTATCTGTACGATGAAGACGACGAGGTGAGGAAGAAGAAGCCGAGGCGTAAGCTCCCTCCCAACGCCGGCAGCACCAGGGTGAGACGAATGTCCCCTCTTGTCTCTCCAATTCCTCTTTCTGTCTCTCGCGCTCTTCTTCTACAGGCCTGTTTCGTCTCCAAAGCAATTCGCGGCTAACCCGATTCCCGCAGTAGCCTTTTCAAGCAAATCTGATTTGACTTGACTGACTCCACAAACCTCCCCCCTTCGTCTGCCTCCCACCCCGACTCGTCTCTATGGTTTATGCATCGGGCCTCTTGCTTTCCAGCCAATTTCCATCCAGAAATAGATCAATTCTAGTTCCCAGTAGAACCTGTGATAACAATAATCACATCCTCAGATGCAAGGACACAATCTTACGCACTCTTGACATTCAAACGCTCACTAAGGCTGTAGAGTTTAACACATAAACACACACACACACACACAACACTCGCTTGCAGTTTGACAAGCGGAAATTGTTTTTCTGTGTGCGTGCGTGCGTTTGCAGCACTATGACATATCAGAGGGTTATTATAATAGAGCCCTCCTGTGGAGCTAACACACTAAACACCCACACTGCTGCTGGATGTTGGAAGCACCTGGTCCATACGGCGGCTCCTCTGACCTCTGAGCACATCATCAAAGATAAAGACCATCTTCCCATCTCAGGAAATCAGCACTAAGCCTCCGGAACCTAGTCAGACATTGTCTGTTGTTGCTAGTTTTGCTTTTTTCCGTTCTTATCAAACATTTTAAAGGTTCAAGACATTTTTATTTAGAGAATATGCCGTAACTCACTTTGGTTGCCAACAAAGATCACAAGCTAAGATCACATGTCCTCCTGGTGCATCTTTCTGGTAGTTCTGAGGTACTGCCAATAGGTGGCGTCATGTCTGTTTGTGTCTTCGCATCTTGCAGGGTGTTGGAGTTCTATTTCAGCTCAAAAAGGACCAATTAAACACTGTGACTTGGGAAATATAACCTTATTTTACACCTTTAAAGTTTAAATAAAACTTTACCAATATAGATTCCCACCTGTGTAAATTGGGGTAACTATCTTCTTTACTTTGCAAACAAAAACATGAAGCTTTAAGTTTTACCCTGGCTTTTTTATAAGAATAAATATCAACATAAATGTTGTTTAGTGCTAGAAGTTGGGTTTTCAGGGAGGTTGTTAGTAGTTGTTACCAAAATCTGATCAAAAGTGGTTTGAGACATTTTAGGGATCAAATGCACAAACAATGTTGATTTTCAGTCGCTCTTTCATGGGGCTTTCTTTGTTTGTTTCTATGTTTTACAAATTAATAATTAATGAATAATATTTGGATTCTATCAAATAAAAAAATCTGTTCTTTTAAATGATGACTGATTAAAGATTTCACCCAGTGCCAGTTATTTATAATAAGGATGTCTATCTTCCAGTATAATGAGACTTAGTCGTCAAACACTTTGAAAAGTTAGCGCATTATCTATTTGAAACGTCTCTGTGTTTAGACCCTGCAGTTTTCAAACAGATGAGGAACGCAGAGATAACATGACTGCCTCTGCTCGTTGTTTCTGTCGTTATTCCAGCTGTTTTTCTGATGCTGATTAAACCACAGATGTTGATCTTTCTTTTCCTGATTGTAAAGCATGAGAAGTTTGGTTTAAGCAGCTTTCTTCTCTCAACAACTTCAAGCTTTTTTTAAACATGGCTTCACAACATTTAAAGCCACTTATGTGGTCATAGATATGTTGAGGTATATATGAGGATTAACCTAGTGTTTAGTTTTTTCAATAAATGAAAAGCAATTCCCAGAGTAGGGGGTTTTATTTCAAATGTCAAATGTCCTCTTTCAAGATGTTTTATATAATTTTCTTACTTGTTTTATGTGTGTTTTCATGAATAAATCCTAATCCTACACTATTAAGGGACTGTTGCCTAAAATGAGCTGTGACCCTCTACAGCTCACTCTGGCACATGGTGGACTTAAAATACTCATGTCAAATTTGATTGTCAATGAAAAAGAAACTTGGAAGTTCTTATAAGATGAAAAACTTGTGATTCTTTCAGAAGTAAAAAAGGATCTAAGTGAAGGCTGTTTTCAAATACAGCTAAAAATAAGAGGCTGAGTTATTCCTTTTAAATATTACATAAACCGTCTCCTTCTTCAAAACAAACACTGCGGCGAAAGGTGCTAACTACATATAACCATAATACGCGCACGCTGTGACACCTTCCTCTCTAATGAAACCAAACTGCACCATGAATATCATGTTTCCTGCCCTGATGTCGTTTCATTTAACCACTGTTCTTCTGAGTCATCAAGCATGAAAAGTGAGCTTAGCTATTCCCTGTTTATTACTCTCCTCTTTCAGCTTGTTCCTTTTTATTAACACATGAAATAAACATGTCTATCCTTGGTGTCTCATGCTGCTCTTTTCACAATTGTTCCTCTGCAGCAACCCAACATCAAGCAGAAATTTGTCGCCTTGCTGAAAAGGTTTAAAGTCACTGATGAGGTTTGTTCTATGCTCCTTTACTTTATTTTTGGGCCAGGCTTTTATCTAGTTTTTCCTTCTTCTAGATGTATCCAAACATATTTTTCCCTACTCTTTGTTTGCAGCTTTATAAAAACACATTTTTTGCCTTTAAAAAAAAAATAATAATAAAAAAAATCTGTTCTCCAGGTGGGGTTCGGCCTGGAGCACGTGTCGAGGGAACAGATCCAGGAGGTCGAGGAGGACCTTGATGAGCTCTACGACAGCCTGGAGATGTACAACCCCAGCGATAGCGGGCCAGAGATGGAGGAGACGGACAGCATCCTCAGCACCCCCAAACCCAAGCTGAGGTAGCAGGAGGAACACAGTGTTTGTTAGATAACATTAGTGATGTCCGTGCTTTTATGTGGAAAAGCAATGCTGCTGTTAGAAGTTAGCAATAAGAAATCCTGTTTAGGTGGTGTTTATTGGTAAAACAATGACCTAGTGAAAGCAAAACAAAATCAAAAATCTGATTTAAAGTGTGTTGCTGTTTTTGTGTACTAAAATGGTATCACTTTTGCAGGCTATTGTACTATAGCTCTGCATTATGACAAAAACATGCACACCATGGATTTCTGTGAAAAGTTTACTCTATAGACTGTATTGAGTTGGAAGTCTCTGTGCTGATATTAACACAGCATGCATCTAGATTGATCTAGGGTAACATTTTTTTCCCTCTGGTAATATTTGCTCCCACCCTTTCTCTTCTTTATTCATCCATCCTCTCATCTGCAAATGTTATGCAGATTTTTTCAACAGCATAAAGAAATAAAGATATGGTGCTTCCACTGGACGGGTATTTAGATTAGATTAGACTGGCTGCTCTGAAGTCTTACTGCTCTCTTTATTAGCAGTTTATTTAGAGCTCCCCCTGTTGGTGAAAACAGCTCTTTGCACAAGTCTGAATGAGGCAGTTAACTTTGCTTAAACCTCAGAGGAACATTAACTCGCCAAATCTATATATTTATATACATATATTTCTATATTCTATAATAAATTTAGTCGATACAAAAAAGACATCTGCTTTGTTGTAATAAAAAAGTTTTTTTTTTTTATCTGAAGATGAAGTTTCTGAAAAGATTTCTTTTTACAGATAAAAGAAGTTTGACTAAATATTCACTGCCTGTTTTCTTTTTGTAGCAAAAGATTTATTACTTTTCACCTGTAGTTTTTCTTTTCTTTCACTGTTTCATTTTTTATTTGCTCAACAAATATTGAAGGATTCCTGTCATGCCGCTGCAGGTTTCCCTACTCTAAGTAGAAAATCGTCTCCATGTCTCAGCTCCTCACTGCAGATTCTTCTCTAGAGAGATGAAATGAGTTTTTGTTTCTGTGTCCTTGTTCAGGCCGTTCTTTGAGGGGATGTCTCAGTCCAGCTCGCAGACGGAGATCGGCAGCCTGAACAGCAAAGGCAGCCTGGGTCGAGATACTTTCAGTCCAGTAAGTAGCCCAGCATCAGTTTTGGGTTTTAAAGTTGAAAGGGTTGAACTTTTGTGGCAAAAGTGAAGAATCTAGCATCAGCAAGGGGGGCTAAATCCACTCTTTGAAGCTGCCATGAAGTCTTTTCAGGTGGAACATGCAGGAAATCAGTTCTTTCACAAATACACGAGGTCTTTTTAAAAACTGTCTTCTGAATAGAGATGATTTAGTCTTTTTAGTCTGTGCAGAAATCGAGCAGCAACAACGTCAGCTTTTTTTTTTAAACAGTTTAATAAGCATTTACTGCAGGGTAACTGTTTATTCTCATGAAACTCATAAAAACACCCACTTTCAGTTTAATTAAAGAGTTCTAGGAGATTCTGTTCTTTTGGTTTTTTTTCTTCCCATTGGTTCACTTCATGATAATGTTGATTTTTTTTTTACTAACCCATCTGACTCTCTGGTTTTCCCAGCAGGGGGACCAGCCTCCTCTGGAGAAGATGAAACCGTCCCGCAGTCGGAACTTGGACGAGATCCCATCTGAGACGGACACGCTGGTAGGAATGCTTCCCCGCGTCTATGAGTCGGGTGAAGGAGGGAGAGCTAACGTTGTGCCCAGAACCTGTTGGTGAAGATCAGTGGTTTATGTCTGCAGGAGCTCACAGACCAGGAGCTGTTTGCAGAAGTCGGCCCCTGCATTACGGTGTCCGTGGCTGAGAAACCCCGTACGCCCCTGAAAAGCAGCAAAAATGAAATGCAGCCCATGGCGTCACCAAGGTAACATCTAATCTAAGCTTAGTTAACTTACTGAAATTACTTTTTGTTTTCTAATCATATGAGTTTGTGTCCCGTTATTGTTACAATGTATCTAAACCACAATGACACTTATGAATGGCTGATTAGCACAATATTCTATTGTATTTATTTAAATTAAAATTCTTAGCAGATTAGCAGGGGACCGTTTCCCACACTGAAACCAAGAGCCTGTTTTACTAAAGTGCTTAAGTTGGATTAACTCCATCCCCCTCATTTTGTTGATGATCCCCTCCTTTGTCTTATTTCCAGACTTAAGTTTTTCTTTTGTCCAAAGAAATTCTGTTTTAAAGGTGGAAAACGGGACAAGGTGTTATTTTACACTTTGTTCTGTGCCGCCTTGCAAACCTACTTAGTTACATTGTAACAACAAGCTTTCATGTTTTCTGTTGTAATTGTAAAGTGGAAAGAAAAGGACGCCTGGCTTAGATATCTTTTTATTTCTTTAATAAAGTTAAGAAAACTGGGATGTGCATTTGCACTCGGCTTCAACTGACACTAAATGGAGGGTTTTTTAGATTTTTGTTTCAAATTGATCTAAGCCTGGTTTAAGTTATTCTGTTAGAGCTCCGGTTCGGTTATTTCAGATTTTCTTCCAGAATTGTCCTGTTAAAATCTTTGTTTATTGTTTCTTTATCTTATGCAGGCCAGTTAGTTATATGTCAGCTTGTACACCTAAATTCGGCCAATCATTTATCAACGGTCAATCAGATGTTTTCGGGCATAGCATCTTGATTCATATGTCACAGGTAATATACGCAACGGTTGAAATAAGAATAATTTACTTTCCCATTGAGTTCCATGGAGATCTGTGTCTTCAGCAGGCGTTGAGCTAACAGAACTGGCAGTGTTGCGAGGTAGGGGCTGAAACATGTACAGCTGTAAGCCTTCTACACCAAACCAAGCTTCTGCTGCCCTGGCGTTCTCTTCCAAAACAAGAGGACGCCACTTTCGTCCTCTAAATGAAAAATGTATGACGGAGGAGACTCATCCATGGCCTCCGACACAAAACTCTCCTCCTCTTGCATGTTTCCTCTGTCCATAGCGTTCCTTGACAGTTTCGTTGCTAAGTGTTACTTGGTCCCAATGTAATTTCCCATTGGGAACCTACTAGCACTCAGTTGTTAACTGGTTAGCAAGATGCTTCAGAGAAATTGGCCACAACCAAACTTGCTTGCGAACCTTCCGCCACAACAAACCCGCCCCCTTGATAATCGACCAATCACATTTACGTTGTTCACTCTTGTAAAGTCGGGCACCACTCGGGAGAATTCGGATTTGCAACAGTTGGAACGGGCGTTTCCCTACAACTTTAAGTTACGCAAAGAAGTTCCCTTATTAGTAGATGTCTTCTGAAGGTAAGGTTTAAGATAGGGTTATCATAGGAAAAGGGACTGATGCTGCTTTCTTTGTTGATTTCATAGATGAGCAATACAAGCTGCTAAAACACATCAGAGTATGTTATTTATGATAAAATTGTGATAAAATGTTAAAAGCGTCGACATGTTGCTTGATTCCGAACGGCTCTCTGTTTATTTGTTTTTTCTGTTTAGGTTGGACGGAGGCCACACGCCCAGACACAAGCGCAGCATCAGCACCCCCATGAAGGAGAGACAGCTGTCCAAGCCTCTGAGCGAACGGACCAACAGCTCCGACTCTGAGAGATCCCCGGAGCTGGGACACAGCACACCGGTAGGAGAAACCATCGGAATCCTCCAGGATCTTATTGTAGGTGGCGTTATTGGTTCAGGCGGCATGTCGTCCCTCTGAGGGATTTACACACAAAACAGCAGCTTTTGTTCTAACCAGCACACTGTTCCCAAAGTAAAGAGAACTCGCTCTGTTAAAACATGAGCCCTCGGAGCTCAGGAATGAATTATGTATGTGCAGATGAGTCATTTGAAGAGTAAATGGGATTCTGTGGTGGGGAGGGATTTCTAAACCCAGGATACTTATCTGCCTGTAGGTTATGAGGAAAGCCGTGTACGATCAGCTCAACCAGATTTTGCTGTCAGATTCTGCACTCCCTGAGAGCCTCATCTTAGTCAACGGCACTGACTGGCAAGGACAGGTATGCACAAGAACCCCCCAACATGATGGCACTCGTCTTCTTTCCCATTTGCCTGATTTTTTTTTTCTGTGTTTTCTCATCTCAGTACGTAGCGGAGCAGCTCCAAGGTCAGAGACACCCGGTGGTCTGCACGTGTTCATCCGCTGAGATCCAGGCTGTGCTTTCCGCTGTGCTCACACGCATCCAGAAATTGTGAGTTTTGAAAATACTCCATTACTTGAACCCTCTGAGTCATCACACCTGTGTTTGCATTAAAAAAAAACCACAATCTCGCTGCTAGTTCTTCCTCATGAATAATATTTCTACTCTCTTGTTTAAGCATTGGTTGTATTTATGATGTCTTGGTTCTTTTTAAACACCCAAGCTTTGATTTCACATCACTGCAGCATTTTACCATTTAAAGCTGTTTGCTGCAGTTCAGCTTTGGTTCTAGGTGTTTAGTCACAGTTTTTAAACCGTTCTTTGAGGCATTAAAGTTTTTTTTTATGTTACATTACATCATTTAGTTTAAAGAATAATAATCACCTGTTAATGCAAACAGTGAAGTTTATAGGATTATGTTTTTAGCATTTAGAGAGTAATTATAAGTCAACATTTGAACCATTTTAAATGAAGTCGGCTGTTGCATTCACCTGAAATTAGTTTTTTTTTAACGACAAAAAATAGCTACAGGAGGCAATAAAAGAAAATGAAACATGAACATGTGCTAGAAACTAAAATCAGATGATAAAAATGAAAAATAATTAAAACAATTTAATTTAAGCATATGCTATAAAACTTTTATAATCTCATCGATAGTTATTATTGAATGTAGAATTGCTTTTAAGCTATGTTTACAAGTAAAGCTGAAGATTTAATAAAAGTGCTGACACAAGAACCCAGCTTTAAAAACTTACTTCTGCCTTAATGTCCACCTAAAGACGGGGGAGATTTTTAAGTGTTTTTGACCTGAAAAATTGACCCGAAGTTTTCTTGCAATTCTGGTTTATTGTGATTATTTTAATTATTGTAAAAGCTTAAAAAGAAAAGTTAAAAATTAAAAAAACAAACACTAAAGTTGTCATTTGAAATGAAGAAATGTCAAATCATATCCCCCTTCATTAAAAAGCTATTTATGCTTTATTATTACTTTATTCAGCAGTGGGAGAGCTGTCATGGAAAAGAATAGTCCAGTTTTAATCCTGGGGTTTTATGCACATCCAGGGCTTTTTTTTGTTTTTTTGTTTCTCATTTAGTGACATTTTGGATTAAATGCGTTTTGTGTCATAATCTGCCCTGGTAGCTCTCCTTAATTACTCATGCCTTTCACCTGCTTAACTCTGTCCAGCTCCTAATTATTACTCATCTCATCCACCTGCCGGTTTCCCTTATATTGGGCTCAGTTCCAGCCATCGGGGCCAGATCATTGTTTTATTTCTGTTAGTTCCTTGTTTGTCTTCTGTTAGTGCTCTGTCTGTCAGTTTTAGTTATTTCCAAGGTTCATGTCCCCATTTCCAGTAGGAGATTGTTTTTTAGTCCTAGTTTTAATCCCTAACCAGTAGTAAGAGCGTCTCAGCACTTTCCGAGTGATTCTGTTTCCCTGATTCTATTCCCTCTCACCCACTGGCCCTGTCTGTCCCGTCTGATCAGCCCACCTAAACCTTGGTGGACTCCTGCTGGATTCTGTCTGAGCTGGATGCTCGACGCTCGGGACTCTGAACCTTTGCGTTGTGATGGATTGATTGGGTGACATGCCAGCTAGTACCCACCTTCCATAATACGCTTTCAGCCATTTTGGTCGCCCATGAGAGCCACTAAACGGAGACACGACGATCACATCATTTGTTGTGAGACTGAAAGCTCAGATCTCGCGACAATCCAGCTTTGCAGCGCAAGGTTAACCCAAAGGTTACATGAAGAGGATCAGTCATTAAAATCCTTAAACTGAGACATCTTTGTTCCTCACAGTTACTTTAAAACCAATCAAATATAACCGATCAGGTGAAAAGATGTTACATTACCTCGGTTACATCTCCCTTCTGTCTGTGTCTCCCTGCAGCTGTAACTGTAACTCCTCCATGCCGCGGGCGGTGAAGGTGGTGGCGGTGGGCAGTCACAGCTACCTGGGAGCCATCCTGCAGTTCTTTGTCTCTCAGCTGGCCAACAAAACCTCCGACTGGCTCAACCACATGCGCTTCCTGGTGGTGCCTCTGGGTGAGGAAGCCTTCTAAAAAACACCATCCTTGCCCTGTTCAGGGCAAGTAAAGTGACCCAGTGTTTCTTTTTCTCTTTTTCAGGTTCCCATCCTGTCGCTAAACACCTGGGATCCCTTGACAACCGCTACAGCTCCTCCTTCCTGGATGGAGCGTGGAGAGACGTGTTCAGCCGATCCGAGCCACCTCAGACAGGTTTTTATACATTTAGAGATCAAATTTCTCCCTCCTTGCGAAGCTCAGACCAGATCATCACTCTTTTTTTTTAACTTCAGATCAGTTGGATATTTCTGGAAGAATCAACCAGTACATCAGCGGAGCCTCGGTGACTCACCAGCTGCCCATCGCTGAGGCTATGCTCACCTGCAAGCACAGAACGTAAGTGAAGAGTCTAAAAAATAAGCGTCCTAAAGTGAGGACAGCTTATCGTAAATAAACCTCCATTTATTTGATCTCTTTTTCAGTCGGGAGGAAGAATCCTACCAGAAGTTCATCCCCTTCATCGGGGTGAGATTTTAGTATCTGAATAAACTGCAACCTGCTCCCAGCAGTGCCTCAGCTGATCGATGCCATCTGTTGTTTTCCAGGTTGTAAAGGTTGGCCTCATCGAGTCGGCGAGTTCTCCCACAGGTGAGGGGGTTTGATTGGTAATGAAGAGCCCGGAGAGGATCCAGTTCAGCTGAAAGCAGTTTGGTTTCTTTTCTCAGGAGATCCAGAGGAGGGTGTTGGGGTCAGCTTGGCCGTCCCGTCCACATCTCCACCGTCTCATGGCTCCCCCACTGGAATGATCAAAGAGGCAGCTACTCCCCCCTCCTCCCCCTCCATGGGCAGCGTCCTAACAGTCCAAGGGTAAGGCAGGCTGATGCTGATTGTAAAGTTTTAAATAAGAAACTTCATCTGACAGAAAAAAGGCTGCAAAAAAAAAAAACACCTGAAATGCTCCTTATAATGTTTCTCTTATTTCACCACAGGAGCCCCAGCATGCCTCACGTTGTGGACGCCATCGGCCTGCAGGTGGATTACTGGCTGGCTTCTCTAGCGGACAAGCGGCGGGAGGGGGAGAGACGCGACACGGGCTGCAAGAACACGCTGAAGAGCGCCTTCCGCTCGCTGCAGGTCAGCAGGCTACCAGGAGGTGGCAGCAACGACCCACAGGCCCTGGTCAACACCATGGCCATGACTGTGGTCACTAAGGAAAAGAACAAGAAAGGTGAGCTGGAGGATCCAGTTACAATAAATGTCCTCGTCCTGTTCTTATCCTGTTAAACGTGGCATTTGCAGATGAAGGCGGAAAGGAAAGGAAATGTTTACAAAATCTCAATGCAGGAAAGATATACGAGATCAGAGCGGGAAAATATGTCATAATTAAGGAATACTTATGGTTTAGGAGAGCTCTGCAGGTTAAGAGCCTTAAGTATTCAGACCCTTTAAATGTTTTTTGTCACATAGCAACCATAAACTTTAAAATTTTTTCATACCAAATGTGTTTTTTTTTTTCTCACTTAAGTTTCATAATAATAAAAAAACAAAAAACAAATGACATCTTTTATTCCAGACATCCGCCTCTGGTAGGTGACCTTAATTTAAAGAGCAAACGGAAGTCAAGCTGTGAAAAGGGCTGAAAAACATTCATGCTTCAATACAGACATTGAAAATATAACAAACAAAATGTCTGCAGCTAGTGGGTCACACAGAAAGCTAGTTTATCAGACGTCTAAGAACAAAAATGCTTTTTTTGCACCATGTTTCTTTCTCCGGCACTGTTTACATGTGATCACTGCTGCACTTTAAGGAATGGAAATGTTTCTGAAAGCTGAACAAAATGAAATCTTGTTCTGTATACTCTCTATGTATACAAAATAACAATAAAAGTAGCCTAAGTCTAAGAAGAACTGATGCCATATTGAGATAGGGAAGACCAAAGAGTGAATTGATGGAAAAAATGAATGATCCTAATTTTCCTAAGTTTAATTTTCATTAAAAAAAAAATAAGAATAAAAAAAATCTATTAAGCTCAAATTTTAAGGGACCAAGCAATGCCTATATAGGTTGAATAAGGTGTGATATATATATTAATTCAGCCCCTTTTACTTTGATACCCCTTTATAAAGTCCATTGCCCCAAATTAGATGATATTTAATCTTATCTGCATATCCAGCTGTTCTGCTAAGGCTGCAGAGGATTTTTGGGTAACATTGGTAAACAAACGGCATAGTTAAAACTTTGGAGAACAGCAGGGAGAAAGATATAGAGAAAAAATCTTCAGCCGGGCATAGACTGTACAAGTTTTTACCGTTTTTCAGGCTGATTCTTCAGGCGTGCGAGAATCTTTTGGATTGGGCCGAGTTTCAACCTCATCATGCATCCTGCGTTGCGTAGTATACAGGGGGTAGCGTTGGGTGACAGCCTCTCACGACCAGCTCCCGATCAGGAATCGGAAGGTTGAGGAGAAAATCAAACTGTTGGGAATTCAGTCGCCCCTCATGAGGTGTTCGTGGGCAAATCCTGCTGTTGCTCTCTTGGCTCTGAGTCTGAAGTGATGTGAGCATTTAGATCACATCGGCGCATCAGGCCGTACAGATTAAGAACAAACATTGTGAGCTGGGAACTTTTAAATCGTGCAGTTTCATTATACAGTTTGAGCTGTAGCTGAGTGCAACGATTGAAAATATGGTACAGTGTATGCCCGCCTTAAAACTCAACCATTTTTTAAGAGCTGTTTTCAGTCCACCATCTGAAAAGACAAAGAATACACTTCAGCTGCTGATACATCGAGGTGTTGTTACAGCTTAAACTGCAGGACAAACGAGGAGAGCGCTGATTAGAGAAGAGGCCAACAGACCCAGCATTAAACTGGGAGAAAAGAAGGGCAGAGTCAAAAAGAGGAACATCCCAGATGAAAACGTTTCAACAATCTGTGAAAGGACTTTAAATTTGCTGTTCACAGATCTTCTCCATACAGAAAGATTTCAGTTTCTAATTTAGGAAAGCTGGTAGAGGCAAAACTGAAAAGCCCTGACCTGCTTCAAAAGGTGATGCTTTGCTGCTCTCAGAAGTGTTAACTGAATATTCAATTCACTTAATTTCTATAGCGCCAGTTCGCGACACATGTCATCTCAAGGCACTTTACATTTCACCAGATCATTCAGTCACATTGATTCAAAGTTTTTTGTCTAAGGGAAACCAGTTGATTGCATCGACTCATTGACTCGGATGCAATCCCTCACACTAAGCATGCTTGTAGCGACAGTGGAGAGGAAAAACTCCCTTCTAACAGGAAGAAACCTCCAGCAGAACCAGGCTCAGTGTGAGCGGTCATCTGAGGCCGACTGGGGTTCAAGGAGACTGAAGCAGAGATAGAAAAAGCAACTGTAAAAGGCGGCCCGTCCAGGAAACACACAGCCAGGCAGACGAGCTCTGAGCCAGCTCCCATGCCAGAGGACGAAGAGAGCACATCCAGCCAGTCACAGTCAGAGAAACAGGACTACACTGGAAAACAGGCCGATCTCCAGCATCTATAAACAAAGGTGTTGATGGCAGCAGCACAGCTGATATTTCTCTCCAGGATGGTGTCACAGCCAAAAAGAAACAGACGAGTCAAAGCTACTATGAGAAAAAGCAGAGACAGCATGACGTTAGAGATTGAACTAACAGATTCTTCAGAGTGGAAGAATAGAGATAGAATGAAACAGAATGATGAAATAGGGGTCCCTATGTCCTCCAGCAGTCTAAGCCTATAGCAGCATAACTATAGAGATAGCTCAGGATAATGAATATGAATACAAACCACTGCTAGAAACTCCCTTCATTAATAAAAAACTGTGTTTGTGTAACATATGAAATTGACAATCATGAGAAGGGCAGGCACTGCATATGGGGAAAGTAAAAAGTAATCTATTGTTCATTTTATTCTATAAAGGTTTTAGTTTTTATTACTTTTATTTTCATTCATAAAAAGGTTGCAGAACGTTTAGCGCTTCTCTTTGTTTTCTTTTAAGTAGATTACATTATATGTAGGAATCCAGCAAAACCTTATAATGTAAAAAAAAAATGGCACTAGGTCATTATCTGTTGGTTTCTTTTTAAACATAGTCTAGCTGATGAATGAAATCTATATCTATCCTTTGGTTCCCTACAGTTCCCACCATCTTCCTGGGGAAGAAGCCCAAAGAAAAGGACATGGACTCAAAGAGCCAGGTGATCGAAGGCATCAGCCGCCTCATCTGCTCCGCCAAGCAGCAACAGACCATCCTGAAAGGTGACCTGACCTCTAAACCCTGCTCACCATCGCCAAAACTCTCTACATTTACTCACCACCTCCTCCTTATGCCTCCAGTGTCCATAGACGGCGTGGAGTGGAACGACGTGAAGTTCTTCCAGCTGGCGGCGCAGTGGCCCACTCACGTCAAATACCTGCCGGTCGGACTTTTCGGCTACAGCAAGCCCCCGTCGTAGGGCAGAGCTTTAACTCCTCTGCTTCCCTGACTTTGTTCTCTCCTCACCCACCCCTCCTTTTTTTTTTTTTTTTTTTTTTTTTTTTTGCACAGAAGATGCAGATCAAGCAGCCGGATCATTTTCCTTTCTTTTCATCCAACAAAAAAAAACTACATTCATCCCGTTTCTCCTTGGAGGAGGAGGAGGGAGCTGGAGTTCAACGCTGTTACTAGTCACTTTAAAGCTTTTTTATGTGTGTGTGTGGAATAAGTGTGCATGCACACGTGAATGTACATTATGTTTGTGTGTGTGGGCGTGTGAGTTTACAAGCATATCACAGCACAAGTTTATTAGCCAGTCACCGTCTATGTTTCTGATTTTAAGGAATTTAGCAGCATGTAAAAACAATCCAGTTATAGCCCTTACTGTCTAAACCAGCCGCTTTAGCCCCCATCACACCACCCGATACTCCGATACTCAATGTGCCACAAATGGTCACTTGTGCTTCAGTTTGCATGCACGACCACAAACAATCCCTAACCCAAACAGGCATGAAAGGCAGTTTCTACATCGACAAAGCTGCAATAAATCCACTAATGTACTTTTTTTATTTCAAGGGCTTCCATTATGCAGTTCTTTTCCTTTAAAAAAACACAATTTAGATGTTCATATGCCAAAAAAAGATGAAAAAAAACCAATATACATAGATATAAAGGAGGAAGCGTCTTTTATTTTAGAACGGCGTTCTTGTGAAAAGCTGTCAAACCTTCGCCCCCTTCTTAAAACCGTTTTGTGAAGCATAGTGGTAAACGTAACTCCGTATTTTTCCTTCGTGTTCAAACGCTATGCACTTCTGAACACACTTGGACCATTCGAATGATTTCAATATGACATCCTGATGAAACATCCGTCAGGTAGCGCCGTATAGCAAAACGCACACCCCGAACGCAGCAGCATGGAAGGGAAAAGAAAAAAAAAGGTGCTTATGTTGCTTTCCTCTGTATCTGTTTTTAGATAGAAGCACAAACGCTTTATTGACCGAACCGGCCTGCAGAACGAGGTGGTCTGTGAGCAGCACTGAGACTTCCTGAAGACAATCAGGATCAGGGGGAAGAGCCGGTGTTTGGGTTCATTCTGTGATTTCGGTGCAGGTCTGCTCCTTTTTTATAGCTTGTTGTGAGGTGATTAGTCCGTGCAGTAAGGGGTAACAAACAGCGTATGTGTACGTCACAAATTAAACTAAATGTGGACAAAAACTTTAAATGAAAAAAAATGAAACATATGATAAATAGTTTTCTATAAAGTGATGGGAGATATGTAGTGTGTGTGTGTGTGTGTGTGTGTGTGTGTGTGTGTGTGTGTGTGTGTGTTGGCACTGTGCATCCATGATGAGGTGATTATCAACATCACTGATTGTCAGATTAGGGCTGCAGTCTTCATCCTGTTCATTTTGTAGCTGCACAAGGCAAATAATCAAGGTCATTTTTTCCGGCGAAACGAATTACGTAAAAAAAAAAAAACAATCCTGCAAATATAATTCAATATTTGTCTATATTTGAGGAAAAGCTCCGCCTTGTGTCTTCTACAATGTAACACATCACCACTGAAGTATTACAGCATTGTTTTTTTTTTAAGTGTTATTGCTCATCTCTTTTAGTTTGAGAATAGAGGGCATTTCTTGTTAGCCTGTTGGTGTTACAGTATTACCTTTGTGATTTCAGCAGCATTTTTCTTTTCTCCTGTTTGGCTCCATCTGATACTCCAGGTTTTTATGTACGAGGTTCCTCAGTGAGCAGATCAATGCTGGGCCAAACGCTCATCATGTCCAAATTTTCTTACTGAGTTTTAGAAATGAAATACCCCACAGATGAGAAGATTTGGTAAGCCGGACGTCCTGAACTTGTGTTGGACTTTGGACTGAGTGAGAGAATCATCTGTGATTGATTTTTGTCCCTGAACATTAGTGACAGTTTTTTGTTTTGGTGATTTAACAAAAATGTTTACTGGGACTAAACGTTTCCTTTCCAAGGTGAAGCTCCAGAAACACTGGGTTCATTTGCTCTTCTGAAGGCAATCTACATTTAAAACGGGGGAAAAGGAAAAAAAAAATTAAATTCTGTAGCACATTCATGGGAACAAGTTTAGATCCCCAAACACTCAACAGGGTCTACTTTATTTAGAAACACATTGTACTGTTTCTTTTTTTTTTTTGCAGTACAGCAACCCAATTCTGCAAGACAATCTATTTGAAAAAGAAATATATAGATATCCTCGACTTTACCCATTCAGCTAAATGATTTAATGAATTCATAGCTTATTTCCTGATAGGTTTTTTTCGCAGTGCTAAGCTGACTTTAGCATCTTTACTCCCTCGATGGATTGGCAGGTAAAAGCTTTCACTTTGGTTCTAGTCATTTAAAAAAAGTCGGCCTTTGCATTAGAAGCTGGGTGCTTTGCTTTGAAACGTCATCAGTTTTAATGGCTAATGTTTTAGCTGCTCTCTATAACCCCCAGCTGTCTAGAAACGGCCCCTCCCACTGACTGAAAGGAAGCTGCATCAGCCAACGCAGTCTCTTCTTCACCCTTATCAGTGAAGCACTTGCCGTTTTATTGAAAGCTTGGATTAATTAAACTGAAAAAAGCTGCTTTTTTTTCAATGCACGCTTGAAAACTGGTCATAATTATATATAAAAAAGGCTGAACAAATTTTAGCCGCACAGATATAATTACACCAGTGTCTGTATTTAGTGACGTGCATTTTAAAATTACCTCTAACAGAAGGAAAAAAAACAGACCAAATTGTGTGTTATATAGCATTTAAAGCTCTGCATATTAAAAAAGTTAATATACACAATGTGACCACAGTTTATAAATCATTATGAGTCTAGGGCTGCAGTTTTATTCTTTGTATACAAGCTAAAAATGAATTAGAGCCAAATTGAATGAAATGGGTGAATTAGTGGATCCTTCCTGCTCAGGAATTATTATTCTATCTGTTAATTCAATATACACACAACTTAACCTAATATATCTCTGTTATAAAACTAGTCTTTACAGAACACAAAAAAAACGTTTAAAATTAATGTGCAGCTTCGTTTTTCCTCCCCCGCAAAGGCCAGTAAATTCTAGCAGCACAATGAAGTGATTCCCTGCTGTTTAAAACTGCAAATGTTAAACTTGTTAATTTGACAAATGGGACAAAAATGATGCATCTAGAATAAAATTTTGTTTTGTATAATTTTTTTCAAGAATATTGCCCCGTTCTGAACTTAAACCCAGTGTTTCTGAGCAACCATCTCTACTCAGTCTGAACAATGACATTTATTGCCTCCTCAGAAAGAGGCAGAGGTCCTTTATAAACCACATTATTTAGGAAAAAATCCCCTGAATCCTGCTACAAAGTCACGTTTTAAATATTCATAATGATATTGAATGTGTTTGTTATTGTTGACTAAGAACCAGAGGCATCTCTATCCTCAACAGGCTAAATTATAATTTCAATGAACAGCGATTTGCCTCTGCAGTTCATGTTTCCCAGAGCGGTTCTGTGTGGAAGTCGTCAACTTGTTACTGCGTGTCATTCCTTTACCTCTGTATTTGTGTCAACCAGTGATTGTCGCCGTGGTTCCTCTCTCTGTGGTTGGAGATTAGCAGCTGTTCTGTCCGTCTGTAATCTCTCCGTAAACAGCTGTGTCTACACGTCTTTTTCACTTGGCCTCCACAAGCTCACCATTCTGGGGGAAAATAATAAAGAAACAAATCACGCTGTCCTCTGTTCCCTCGCAGCTTGTAAATCGCCCATCGGTTCTCAGAGGAACAGTTTCTTTTCTGGTTGTTTTTGCTTATTGAAAAGCAGCCGATTGCTGCCTGCCGAGGTTCTGCTGGGAGCAGAGCCTCCTGAGCTTGTGGACTTGTGAAGAGTATTTTGCACATACCATTTTTTTTCTTCAGCAACAAGTTTTATCTGTATTTTTTTTTTCTATTTGTTTTGCCTTTTGCCTATAACAGCAGTTCTAATAAACCAACTATTATGCTTGTACATACAAGATAGTACTTGATATATATTTTTGTTTAGTTATTTTTTTGTTCGTTCAACATGTTTTTTTGTAGTACTGCTTTTTCATGATTGCGTCTGTCTGTAGAACAGATGTCAGGTCAACAGTGAAAGTGCTTATTGTATGTTTTTTTTTAAATAAAGATATTCCTCGTTTTGTAGCTGTGCCTTTCTGCTTACAGTCATTTTCACTGAGTACTGCGCAGTTTAAAATATTCAATGAAATATATCTTTTGATATTATCTCTAGAACATGTTAGTACTGCAGTCAGATATTTCAGGGTATGGTGATATTTCAGTTTTAATGGCCAGGAATTTGACTTTGGTTCCACTTTTAAATGTAAAGGCATTTTAAGTATAAAGAAGTGAGTTTTGGATTGGTACGGTGTCTGTGTGAGGACAATAGGCAAAGGCTCCTACCAACCCGAAGTAATACACAGCAAACACCATAATGCTGAGTGAAAGGATCTGGTTTTAAACACTGTTTCACACAAAGTGGCATCATGTTTATATTACAGCCCCTTCAAGTAGAATTACAAAACTTCCAAGTTGAAGTATGTCCCTACAAGATTTGCATTTTTTGCAAAATCTGTCAGCGGGGGCGGGGATTGTAGATCAAATTAACCGGGTTAGTGGGGTTAGGGCAATATTTTATCATTAAAGGTCAGAGATGCATTTTTTTTTTTCATCAAAAGGATTCATTTAGAAAAAGAAAAAGCTTCACAGAGCATCTAGATTAGTGCAAAATAAATATTTTTTACTCAATATCTTTTAAACAAGAATGACTGACTTGAAGTACAGACCTTAGATGGTATGGGGTATTGCAGTTTAACAAAAGAAGCCAAATGACCTCCATTCCAAATGGGTGGACCCCTTCATCTGTTCTAATTTGCATGTTTTCATAACAAAAACAAGGCTTTGTTGGGCTACTGTATAAAACCTGGAACTCAATGCTATTCCTGACATTTTGAATTGAAAAAGCTTCCTGGATGGGAAGCGAAACTTCTTCAAACTTGGAAACAAAGTCCAATGGATTGTTTTTAATTTTCTTTATTTTGATTTACTCAAGAAATAATTTAACAAATATCGACTGGTCCAATATATATATAAATATTTACTTCTGTTTATGATCCCAACATCGTCACAAAGGGGTTCTTGACTGGTAGGACTAGTAGGTTAAAGTCAGGTGATGCGTAGCTCAGGTGTTGTCAGATTCCAGTGGCTCCATGATAAACCTAAGAAATGGCTTCTTTGAGTTATGTTCCTCAGATTTAAGCCAAAAAAGCAAAACGAGCAAAAACATCAAGCTTTAAGAGTTGGTGATGACTTAAGGGAGCAAACAGACTCAGAAGCACGTATAGAAAATCATTAAAGCATTGTCTATTTTACTGTGACAAATAATGATGATCATTTACTGACAGCAAGTTTTAAGGCTTTTGGGGAAATGCAGTGATTGTAAAAAAGAGCATTGATGAGGTTTTGTTAGAAATATTCAGGATCACCCCAGAAATTAATTCTATATTACTCACAAATATACAAGGTCGTTATATGATAATCACAGACAACAAATAGAAATCAACAGTTTTTGTACCTTTGTGGGGCCTAATTTTGCTTTGCAAACATCTAGTTCAAAGACAGAGACACTGATTCTTGGAAACCAGCCCTCTGGCTATCCACTTGAAGAATAGAGCCCTCAGTGAAAGCCTGTGGTTTAAAACTTAGAAATATTAGTCTTTCATTTTTATTTTAACTGCCTGTCATGGCAGGAGAAAAAACAAGTCTACAGACTTAATTATTCTGACTTGCCTTTCAGGGCTTCCATATAAAACCAATTTATACAAAGATGTTTTCATTTACATCCGTCACACCGCGTACTGTAGACGTCACTGTTGTGCACGGCGCCTAATAGACCTTTGATTGGAAGCATCCTGCTTCCTCTTTCTACCTCCCTACTCACTGACAGCCCTGTTTGAACTTATAATGGTGACCCCTGACCTCTGGTTCAGCTTAAGTTTCCTCACTAATTTACACAATATAAACTGGAAATGGATCAGTGGATTTGGTGTGGAAGAACCTCAATGACCTGTGCAGATTGGTGCCCTTTAAAGTATCATAGCACAGTTCTGTAGCACAGTTCTTCTCGCAGTCTGTCTGCATTGCTCATATTCTCAAAGTAAGAGAATAGTGGAGCTACGATGAATGGCTAAGACTAAAGCTCAATGGATACATAAACCCTGGAGGAGTTCATGCACAGTGGGAGGAAACTAGCCAGAAATGAGCATGCACAATAACATCAGGTGAACGTGGGATGTTTGACATCCAGTAGAGGATCCCTTCAACAATAGAGCCTTATAGGCCTGCATTTATTTCAATACACAGACTAACAGCCAAGCCTTTTTATCCAACATCAGTGTCTGACCTCATAAATGTAATTCTTAAAGAGTTATATTTCCCATAATGTCCCTCATAAACCATGTGGAAAGTTTTCCTAGAAAAGTTCAATCTGTGGGCTGACATCCTAATAACCCCCATCATTTAACAATGGTTTGCGGTTCTGTGAATGATTTTGCATCAAACACTCTTAAATGGTTTCATCATCACTTGGGATTGTGGGAAGAGTTAAACCCAGCTATGTGAAAGGATGTGATCTGAAAAAAAAACAAAAGAGCACCATTGTACACAACAGCTGCAAAACAAAGCAAGTGTTGGCTGCTGTAGTTTCACACACTCCTGCTCTCCCTCACCTAGAAGCATGGGCGGTTCTAGACAGGGGCCAATGGGGGCCAGTGCCCCTGTAGATCATGCCCTGAAGACATAATACTCAAATAAATTGTAATGATGGTATGTGCTAGAACAGACATGGTTATTGATAGATCTTTTGGATTTTTTTTTTCTTTTAAAATTCTGTTTTACTAACTATTTAAAAACAATAAGGTGATAGCTTTAGTGGTATTAAGATGGCATCCCAGTTTTCATCTGCTAAACTTTTTTTTTTTTTAAACAAAAAACCCCTCTAATTTTTGCAGCTGAATTTGTCAGTTTTTCTTGAGTTCTAATTCAGATTTTATAGAAAACAAATATTTTAACTTAAATTAAGTCAAAAATATGTAAAATTCCTAAATTCTGAATGTATATTGACCTAATAAGACATAGAATTTTAATCGCAATTGAGTAGAAATTTCACTTCATGCAGCTATCTTAAGATATTTGAAACCCTTGCCCTGTTTTTTTTATATTTCTGCTTTTCTGTGCCCCCCATGAAAACATGCTGGCCCCCTCCTGGCCCCTTGGTACATTTGATCTAGAACCGCCACTGCCTAGCAGAAAGACAAAGGTGGTGTTTTCCTTTCTATTTGGATTAATATTTTGAAAGAAACAAACAAAAAAAACCTGCCATGTTCCCCCAAACTATTATCAATTCAGAAAAAAGGAGGGAGAGCTCTTCTAAAAGCATTATTCTTAGTTTTCAATTCGATATAATTAGTCAGTTTGACTGGGGATATAAAGGGCTATGGGCAGAGCAGCTGTTTGCTTTTTGATTTTCAGCTTCACTGATTGTAATCACCTTAATTAAATCTGGTGGATTTATGGAAACATGCTTATGTAATGTGTGTGGGTGCAATCTAAAATATCAGTAACAGCATCACATTGATACCATTGTGGTGAGAGCAATACTTTTAGATTTACTCTATTATGCACTGCTGATGTTTGGTCAAAAGTTCAACTGTTTGGTGGTGTTGCTAGGGAGTACCTCAGGTAACTAAAACTGGAGATATTTACTCAGGCTTTGTGCTTTCTGCACATTCAATATTACTAAATAACATCATTGTCTTTATATTTGTTTTTACAGGCCATGAGAAGACTGACCCATAACAAAATGCAATGAACATCTACAGAGCCGACCATAGGCGGTTGAGAATGTTAGGTTTATTCTTCATTGTGTGTATTGTTAATCTGTAAACCAGATTAGATTGAGTAGAAGTCCATCCTTCACATGGTGGATTACACTGTGTGTACAGAGGCCATCTAATGAGGATAGTCTTCTTGTCTTTGGAAGATACATAGGATAAGGACACATCCTGGAGCCGCACTGATAGAGGAGAGCGATCTGTAATGCTGAGGCACGAAGGTCAGGGCATGGATGGGGTGTCCGTTTCTGAACTGAACAGCTTAACATCCATCCATCCAACATACGTTTCGCCACCTCTCCAGGAAGCTTTCTCAATTCAAAGTCTGGATCCGCAGTGAGTTTGAGTCTTTATATAGACAAGGCCTTGTATTGCCTGGAAACATGCAAATGGAAACCGAAGAGCAGGTCGTTTGGTTCCATTGTTAGCCTGTAATATCTGAAACCTGTCTATGATTCTGAAGGTCTAACGACAATCCCCCCCTTTAACCTGTCCTGTCTTTATAGTCCTTTTAATATGGTTTTACCAAATTTGAGTTAAGAATAATTATACTAGGTAACTTGCTCCCAGGAAAAGAACTGGAAGGGAAGTTCAGAGGCGGAAACGCCTTCAGGGGGACCTAACTTCCTTATTTAACAAGAATAAGAGGGATGGAAAGGTGAGGACCATCAGATATAAGTGTTACCAGCTTTATACTATAAATACATGTTTTTAGTCAATATACATCCATTATTAGTTCAGCAGGTCACCAAAAACACAGTTTGATGCAAACAGCAAAATTAGAAACTTTATTTTGTTTTAACACAATCATACACTGTAAAACTCAAATATATAAAATATTCAAAAAATAAATAATAATAATAAAAAAAAAGTGTTCCTTTCCACTTTGGTTTCTCTGAAGGCAATGCAGACACTTGGCCTACAGATCTTTGGTGAGCTGGTGTTGTGATCGCCTCTTGTGTGGTGCTGCGCATACTGAGGGAGTTTCCAGAAACACCGGGGCAGTATGTCGGGTTCAGACCCCCCCTCCACTAAACCGTGACACGTGCTCAGCCACAGCATCCTCTCTGGAAGGTCTGGGAAGCTGAGCACGTGAGTCCTGGGGAACAGGAATCCGCTGGACGGCCTCCACGTAACGAAGGGGGTCATGGACGATCTCTTTGAACACTAGTCCCATCAGGTTACGGACATAGCCTGTTGGGTGTGAAACTATAAATTATTGTTAGTATCTATCCATTACACATGTTGCACAATTGGTTATACTAAAAAATATATACATTTTAAACTTACAAATTGTTGGCTTTGTCTTCTTTTTTTTGACTGTGTAACCTCCCCTTTTGGCCTTTGGAAACACAAGCCTGTTCATTAGTTTCCCCTTGGCCGTCTTCCGTCTGGGGCGCTGAGCATTCTCATTGAAATGCAAAGCTGCAAGGTACAACCTAAATGAAACAGCAGAAATGATGTAACAACTGTCATTTTTGTAAGCATACACCAAGAAAATAAACCTACTAAAGGCTGATTTATACTTCGAAACCAGGTCCTTTGCATAGGTGTCGCAGTGAACAAAAAGACGTCTCCGCCCCCTTCCGCAGACACTACACATTGTAGGCGACCGCAGACGGTGCCGCAGACAGGAGGTCGGCTTGTTTTGTTTTTATGACCGCAATTGCGGAAAACAACTTGTTAAGTTGGACCAGCTAGAGGAACGCTGGGACCCTTTTTCCACCTGGATCGCTGCTCTTTTTCACCGTCATGTTTCTTTTTTGTCGGACAAACTCGCCCCCGCTTCTCTCCACCTCGGCCGTATCTAGACCCACAGCGTGAAAGCGCAGACCACGCTTCAATATTGGGCATAAATCAAAAATCTCTGCATCAAGCTCACTGCGACACTGCTGCAGGAGTATAACCAGCCCTTAACTCACAGCAAAAGCATTGGCTAACCTGTAGGCTGTGCCAAAGCTGTACCCTAACCAGTGTTGTTACAGATGCCTTTCAGTCAGAGCTTCATAAAACTGTAATGATTTGCATTTTGATGCCCGGCAATTAGGCCCGACTTTCCCTGAACAAAATCAGTTTCTGTACACAATTTGTCTCCAATTCCCATTTGCCATGACTTGGTTTAAATATGAAGAGATTCATAGGGAGTGTTCATACCTGCATAGCATTCCAATGAAGGGGAAAGCCAAATTTTTTGGGGCAAACCGCTGGATGACACTATGGAACGACTCCACAGTTGCTGACTGGTAATGATGGCTGAGCTTTTCAACATTAGTAAGGAACCTCTTGTTTGTTAGGACCTTGTCAAGCCTATTCAGTGCTGATGAACCTAAGAGAAAGTCAGTTAACAATGCGATTTAAAACCATGAATACTGATGAGGATGCATGTGTAACCATTGCTTTACAAAACTGACCTGGTTGAAACCACTTGCTACGGTCCTTCGAGGCCTTCGGTGGATGTAAACACTTAGGGAAAGCGGGATCAGAATGGTTGTGCACACCTTGCATGTGGTTCAACACAGACTTCCATTTGGCTAGCTTCTCTGCTCCGCAGACGGAGCTCGTGGCACACCAGTACAGGTGGTTGACTATGCTTTTATGCCACTTCTTCACCAAAGCGCAGCCTTTGTCTTTGCCAACTAGTTCCAACTTCTTTGACAACCCTAATCATTGAAACACAAGTTTAGGTAGCCATTTTTGTTCAGTTATCTACATCTTTACAACATGTTAAAAATATATATATAAATAAAAGGTTACATTACCTTTTGCTACACGCTGGACATCATAATAGTGGGTCATTTTACGTTCTCTTAGGATCTTCTGGATCTGAGGATGACGATTGGTGATAACACCGTCCAGCTTTACACCACTTCGATGTAGGAGGTCCAGGCTTCTAATTAGACCTTCCTTTTCCATGCATGAGCGTCCCCCCACCTCATTGCTCTGTGCAGAGACACACACAATAATATAATCCAATAGGTAGCCGATAAGTATTTTTATATTCTGTATCAAAACACTGGATTATTTAATCATTTTTCTGACCATTTTGACCACATAAGGCTTATACAGGCTCATAATGAAACTTGTGCATATGCATACAATACATTATGTTATTCCTGATGATTTCAAATACCTGCACCAGCTGTATGTCCACAATTTCATTGGTCTTCACATCCATCATTGTGTAGCTTCCATACTTTGCAGAATGTCCTACAATACAGAAGATTTTACATTGTTAGTCAACAAACATGAGATGTAAGCACCAATAGGCAAAACTAGGCAGTTGCCTAGGGATCCAAGTTCCTGGGGGGCCCCATAAAACTCTGTTTACATTCATGGTTAATACAGCTATTACTGATTTGTGCACATTAATTATGTTTTTGACAAAAAATCCTTTTGCTAAAATGCCATCAGAACACTTATAACATTAAGTGTGTCTCAACCCCACTCCCCTTCAGTGTCTGCCACATTGGATCAGTCCATTTGCTGCACATGTTCTGAAAGGTCCAAACAGACAGCAGCAAACCAATTGAATGTTGAATGTTGTTGCGAACTTAGTGTTTTGCCGCTATATTAAGTGACTTTTCAGACCTCTCTAGCACTTTTATATAAAAAAAAAGGGGCTAGTAACACACCTAGTGACTTTTTTCTGTTACTGGAGACTTTTGGCGACAACATATAAAAGCAGTGAACTCTGCTCTCCAGAGCGAGTAGATTCGTAACCCCGCCTCCTGCTTTCCTCTATCTTGTCTGCTGTGATGACTGATGCAGGGAAGGCTGCCCGCACGCTACACTGCAGCAGAGAGAAAGAACCTTTAACCTCAGAGTCCAGATTGCAAATGAAATGCACAGGTTTAAAGCACTCACTAATATCGTTCAAGATTACAAAATTATTTATAAAACCATTTTTAAAAAAAAGTTAAGTGGTGCTTTTTAAACTTTCTCCCCCTTTATGCTTCTCCTGTCTCTGCACCACTTTCTGCTTCTTATTGCGGGTTTTTTCATTGGTTGGCAAACAATTAATGGTGAATTACTGACAATAACTGGCATGGAGTGGAATTAAATGGCTGAATTACCGGTATATGGATTTTAGTTACCGTACTTGCTTCTTTCTATAAAAGTTAATACTTTCCCCACAAGTTTCCCTTCCAGCAATCTTTCTGCAAAAAACAAAAAAAAAAACAAAAAAAAAACAATCGCAGGGATCCTGAATCTCCTACAGCTGGATGATATGAAATATGCAGATTAGGTGATGACGTCATCTAGCACCTTATAGGACAGCCAATAGCAACTTTGCTTGCTGGAGAGTTGGCAACACTAGCGAAGAGATGAGAGGAGCAGAGAAGAGAAAACTATTGAAGAAAAATATTCTTTAAATGTCTTTAAAAATCTGAAAAAAAAACCTTATAATTAAAATAAAATGGGTGTGCCTCATTTATGTAATCAAGTAGCAGGATTTACCCTTTGCTTCAGTTGGTCAAGACAAGGTATTTATTTATTTTTATGTCTCAAGAGTGCTTAGTTCGGAAATCTGTTGATGGTCCCTAAAAGAACAGACGCCGGTAAGAAGAGGGAGCAACAGAGAACAGCTGGCCTAAGTCTGACCTCCTGAATCGGATCAACGGTGATATAGGTGCCGCTAACTCAGCGGAGCTTGAATATCCTGCTTCTAACCAACTGCCCTGCGGCAATAAAGGACAAATTTCTGAAGCATTCTTAGAGTTTAGAGTTCTTGTTCTCCACACATCCCGTACTGCTGAGTTCCTTCTATATTGTGGCATGTCAAGAAGAGCCAGCACCATTACAGCCATGCAATATTCTGCAGTCAACTGTTGGGACAGCTCAGTGACAGCACTAGGGGACTATTTCAAAATTGAGATGTTAAAAAATACAGTTTTGACTGGTTCTAATTAACTGAAATATCTTGATTATATTTCTGGAAATGTGACTCTTTAAATGACATTGAGATATCTTAAAAAGCAGTTTGACTCTCCAAAATGTGATGAAAGATATCTTGAATTGTTATTTTTCTCTAGGCATAATATAAAAGTATAAAAAATCATTAAGGGCAGTTAAAATTTAGAAAATAATGTTTGTCTATTAAAATTTCTGTATCTGTATAAAGGGTCTGTATTCTCATTTCAGAGGGCCCCATTCCTGTCTTTGCCTAGGGACCCAAATTTCCTAAATCTGCCCCTGGATGTAAGAAAAGACCTCACCTGGAATTGCTGGTGTAATGCACATTAAATCAAAAAGGGAAAATAAAAAAGTACCTGGTGAATCTGCTCGCATATCAAGAGTGACGCTGTTTTCCTGACTGAGCGTTCGAAGCTTTGTGGATTGCCATTCATTCCAGCTGTGGATTATAGCCGGTTCCAGGTATGTTCTGGCATGTCTTCTGAAAGCATCATATGAGTGTGTTCTCAGCTGCATTGCATCAAACATCTACAAAATAATTAAAAGTAGATCAGTTGTGAAGTCATCAGTGAAAGACAAACACATTCCTGCAGGGAAACAATGATCATAACGATACCTTTTTCATCTTTGAAAATGAAGCTCCACAAAAGTAAACGGCAGCAGACAGCTGAAGGTCGCCCACAGGGGTGCTCCCAATAACTGGCTGACTCTTCCACTGTCTGAAGAACCGGCAGTGAGGGCATTGTTGATCGATCGCTAGGAAAGATCCTCTTCTGCGTGGCAGGACTGTACAGGCTCTTCTGCACACAGGGCACTTCTCAAACAGGCTGAAGAGGCATTGCTCAAAAACAATGTATTTTGCATCGCCATATGATGTCACTGGGGATGTACTACAAGAGATAATGACAAAACAACATTGTTCATCTCAGTTAAAAAACATTTACACTGTCTGACATCAGTCACAATGTATATAAACAGCACTGCTAAATTGTGGGAGTTTTAACTTTACTTACAAAAGCTGGGATGATTCTGCCTCCATTGTGATGGACTGTGCAGGATCGTATGTGGAATGTTGAGGATCAGTGCATGCAGAGGAAACACCTTCCACCCACTCCTCCTCAAATTCAAGGCGAGGTCTCTTTGCTGGCCTCTGACCCTTCCAAGGAGTTGGAGAGGATTGCCCAGAGGCTGAAGGAGCCGTTGTTCCTACTGCCACACTCTGGCATTCTGCTGTTGCCTGTATGCCTTCAAAGGGGGAGACTATTTAGTGGGGTGTCTTATGGATTGCTCAGCGCCCAACTGCTGTGATACAACATAACATTTACTAATCAGTCATACCTTTTCTATATAGACCCAACAAATAACTTTAACCAGCCTCATCCACAAAAGTAAATGTAGGTCATTCAGTCATAATACAGACGAATACTTTTTTAATTTGTGGTGAAAGGCTCACAAATGTACCCAGTCATCAAGTTAAGTTATTGGACAACACTGCTCTGCTAAATGCTACCCAGTAATCATGCTACATGTTTGGACACACAAACACCATAAAACGTCTGATAATATTCATGATAACAAGAATTATTAGAACGTTTAGAAGGTAATAATGATCAGATTAAGAGTGGGTAAAACTATGGAGTACCAACTCTGCCATATTTAAAAATAAATACAGAAATAAATACATGATCAATAAATAAACACACAATTAATTGCCCCCAAAAATACAATAAACAAATAAAATGTAGGTAGAAATTAAATTATACAGTGAGACATAAATGTATATACACATCTTAATTATCTTCTTTATTTATTTATTGTCAGTTATAATCTTGAACTTTATTTATTTATTACTTATTTTTTAAGCATCTATTTATGCACATGATATAATATTTGTCTGTTTTAATCTTCCTTTTTTTTTTACCCCCTTTATTTCTAAAACACTATTTATTGCTGCCTGTTTTTACATTTCTGTATGCATTTCTGATGCAAACAAGATATATACACATTTATGTCTCACTGCATAATTTAATTTCTACCTACATTTATTTGTTTTATTGTTTTTTGGGGGAAATTAATTGTATGCTTCTTTATCTATTGAGCATTTATTTATTTCAGTATTTATCTTTAAATAAGGCAGACTTGGTCATCCATACATACCTATTGACATGACAATTTATAGGGAGAAAAAACAATGATAAATGTGAAGAATGTGGAGAAAAAGAAAATGTAGAACCCCTACTAATGAAACGTATGAACATGAAAGGGAGAAATTGAGAAGAATGGTTGGAAGGTCAGGCCAAGAATGGAGTATTAAAGGAATATTGGAAAAAAGAAGGAAATATAAAGGACATTCACAGATTAAGGAAAGCATTATTTATTTATCTACAGAATATAAAATAAAAAATAGAATTATATGTAAAGTAATGTTGCTACACACTCATGTACAGTATACATGTATGTGCAGCAGTATGTGAGGGAAAACAACGATGTGGAAGGTGTGCTGCAGAGCATGCACATGGAGAGTGTGGGAAGGAAGTCAAATTAAATGCTGTAACTGTGGTAGAGAACATTCTGCTGCTTATCACGGGTGTGAAGTGAGCAAAAGATCTGAGGAGATAAGAAATGTGAAATTAGAGCTTGGAATAACTTATGCAGAAGTGTCCTAAAATTGCAGAAAATTAATTGATTGTAAAAAAGAAAGATTTTGTACTTTTCATGGTAGAAGTGATCAACTGTAATGCTCAGACGACAAAGAAAGCCGAAAAAAATCTAAATAATAGTGAAAGCTGAAGAAAAGTATCTTGGAGTTAGAGATTTAAACTGGGAAGCGAGAAGGACATCAACAGGCAAAGTGACAATAATTTAAGGATAAATTAGAAATTATGAGGATGAATTTTATTAAGTATTTATCATGTTGGGTTAAGTTAAACAGTTCGAAAAATATTTTTTATTTTATTTTTTCTGGGGGTGAGTCTTGTTTCCTAGTTTAACTCCTTATCAGCTGGTGGCGGTGATGCACTTTCAACTAGTGTGCCAACCGCCAATAAACCGTAGAAGAAGAAGCAGGTTTACCTTTGCTTCGTTGCTGAGGTCTCAATGCAGTGAAACAAAGCTGCGTCCTGTGAGATGCCACATTAGGAGGATCTCTTCGGCACGCTGCAACTTTTTGATCTTGAGATGTGCTCTGAAATCATTTTACACGATAAAATGTTAACGTTGCTCCTTGTTTCCACTTCTAAAACACGACCGACTGAGCTGGCTAACATTGTAGCTTAGCTTCTAGCAACCAAGCTAACGTGATTCTACTCAGCTTTGGCCATCCTACTGGAATGACAAACTAACACGACGAAGACCAGGACAAACATGCAGAAAGTGTTATTTATTCGAACCAAATACAGTCAGGGTAATGAAATAATGTGTAACACATTCTGCATGCTGCTACATTCGCTATGCTAGCATTGCTATCAACAGCTTAGCAGCAGAATCATGCTTACAGTTTGTGGTTGTGATGGCCTTATGGTGGGAACAGCCCCTCGTTTCAGTAAAAGAAGTTTAGCAAATCCTGCTTTGAACTGTCCAAGGTTCTGAAAGCTGTCTTCGGTAAAATGCTTCGAGCATATGAACAGCTGAGCATCAGACCTTGCAGAGATCCTCTGATGCA